GTCCCTTCTTGGACATCACATGGATCTTTTAGCCACTGACACCAATAGTCTAATGATTACATCAAACTCTTGATTAACATATTTTTACTTCAACATAATGATCAAAAGCACAAGCATAAACAACAAAGTTTAAAACATGTAGTCAAAAACAACAATTAATAACATAAGCATAAATTAATGGCTGTGAAAAACATACCAGGATTTGTAACAATAAAATGAAACAGAAAGGAAAAAATCGAGCCCACTGAATGCACATTGTCCCCTGAAGGAAATTATTCTCCTCTAGTACCCGAGGTTTAAAAGAATAAATCCTCTCAAGATAAAACAACTCTATTCACCAGTGTATTGATACAAAAACAATGGTGTCAGTGAGTCATTCAACAGGAGCAAAGCACACGAATATTTAATTGTGCAGAAGAAGTTCAGAATTTTTGTTGTTTTAAAATGAGAGGAAATCCCTCTATTTATAGACAAGAAAGGGTAGTGTGAATAAATGTTTATCGTGCCTTATCGGAAAGGTCACAACTCTTTGGGAAAGTCACAACCTTTCATAAAAGTCACAACCTTTCATAAAAGTCGCAACTTTTCATAAAAGTCACAACTTTTCATAAAAGTTGCACCTTTTCATAAAAGTCGCAACTCCTCATAAAAGGAAAGACTAATTTTGGAAATAAATAAATTAAAAGGGAATCCTGGTTTGTGGTGGCGCCACATAGGCGGGCTTAGGGTTCTCTTTTATATATATATATATATATGATATAACTATTTAAGAAAATATTAGAAATTCCAATGATTAACAACTTAAAATATTTAAAAGAGATAAAAAATCCCAAACAAAATTAAACTTAACTGACTTTCAAAATTTTAATTATGTCACATAAATGAGACGGAAGGAGTATAACATAAGAATTGTGCATTTTCATCGTTACATAACAATTAATTTAACACTACAATATGTTGCATCTTTCAAATTTTGAGATTCAAATGAATCTTTCTTTAGCCATAATTTATTTTATAGGTTTTCTAAATATTTTGAGTTCTCATTTATTCCAAGAAAAATCATTTAACATTGTAACATACCAACTCTACTTGTTTGGATATTTTTATAAGAGAAAATACATAAAATACACCATCAAACTTGTCTCGTATTTGCATAAAGACATCTTAACTTTCAAAGTATCCTATTACCCCGCAGAACTATTTAATATCTTTGTAAACGAGCCATTTTGACCCATTCCCTCGTCTATGTAGTCGCGCGTGTTGCTCACTCCCTATGATAGAATTCAACCCGACCCAACCTTGTTCTTTGAAGAAAGTCGTTTTTCCTTTTCTTTTCTTATTTCTCAACTTTCCTTTTCCTTTTCTTCTTCTAAATTTATTTCTTCTCTCTAAGGTTTTTTGTTTTATGTTTTAGTGTTTTAATTTTTCTTTTCCTTCTTTCTTATCAGATTCCTTTTAGTTTCTCTGTTTTTCGACCTGTTTTAGTTGTTTCAAGATCGTCTTTATTGTCGTCTTCTTCTGATTTATTGTCTACTTCACAATCATTTCAAGATTTTGGTAGTAGTTCCTTATTGCATTTACAAATTGAGGGTCGGGTTTTGTTTTCCGATCATGTTTTGTTGTTGGTGAACAAAAATTCAGAAGAAAGTAAACCATAAAAAACTTCAAATTAACGTTTTATACTGGAAATTAAAAGATAAAACGAATTCCTACCTATTTTCTTGGGGAAGATGATGAAGTTGTCAAATAGAGAGAACCAACGTTGATCTTGCTATGGAAAAAAACCATGAAATCGAAAAATTAGGGCTATCAACGGCTATTTTGGGTTTAGAATTGGGGAAGATGACATAAATTGATTAAATAATTAATAATAAAGAAAGAAAATGACATGTAGCACTTTTAAATTGGTCCATGGCAGTGAAAACACGGAATGACGCGCCTCATGTGCATGGTAACAATCCAGACAAGGAAATGGGTCAAAATGGCCCATTTACAACGATATTAAATAGTTTTGTGGGGTGATAGGACACTTTGAAAGTTAAAGTATCTTTATACAAATACGGGACAACTTTGATTGTGTCTTTATGTCTTTACTCTTTTTATAATGATAACATTAGTTGAGCTTAAAGAAGGAGACATGGTAATTGGTAAGTGGCTATTCATATATAGCCGATCCGATTCGATCTCAACTTATTTGAAATTGAGACGTAGATGTTAATTGTTATTGTTGAGTGTTGACTAATGACTATATCAGACGCAGAATGATTGTTCTGGCGTGCGTTTGGAATAAATTATTAAAAGCCTTCATTTTTGACCATCTTATATATTAAAATACATAAGCTATTGGAAGTCATAACACGGCATTGCCACTATATTTTCTTATATGCAATGATAAGATCTTAACATACCATGTTCTGTATTAGGGTCTGACTGAATTTGAATTCGTATGATAAAGTCACATTTTTGAGGTAAAGCTTCTCTATGAAAGGCCACTTCATATTCAGGATCGAATCTAAAATTTCTAGTTAAGAACGAAGGAATACTTACTATTCCACCACAACTCTGTTATAAATTAAGAGGTTATTTGTTCTTTCAATAGTCCTAACTTCCTTCAATGGAGAATGAAAAAGAAAGACTTCATGTAGTGATGTTCCCATGGCTAGCCATGGGACATATCATACCTTTTTTTCATCTATCCAAGTGTTTAGCTCAAAGGGGCCATAGAGTCACCTTCATTTCAACTCCAAGAAACATTGAAAGAGTAGTTAATAAAGTTCCCTCTGATCTTGCTCCCCTGTTGCATATTCTGAGTTTTCCTTTGCCTAAAGTCGAAAACTTGCCGAATGATGCAGAATCATCAATGGACATACCTTACCAAAAAGCTCAGTTCTTGAAGATTGCTTTCGATTTGCTCGAAATCCCACTAACCAATTTTCTTGAAAGTTCATCTAATCCCAAACCAGATTGGATTGTCTATGACTATGCTTCTCACTGGCTACCTCAAATTGCAGGCAAATTAGGCGTTTCTCGCGCTTTTTTTAGTCTCTTTACTGCTGCAACTATGTCCTTTTATGGACCCCCTTGGGCTTTGTTAAATGATGAAAGGTCAATCCCTGAGGACTATACAGTTATTCCAAAATGGATTCCTTTAGAAACGAAAGTCGTGTATAGGCTGCACGAGATTAAGAAGAATTTCGAAGCACCAGCTGATGAATCAGGTACCTCTGATGGAGTCCGATTCGGTGCTTCAATTGATGGAAGTGATGTTATCTTGTTTAGAAATTGTGTTGAGTTCGAACCCGAATGGTTCAGCTTGGTTTCTGAGCTTTATCAAAAACCTGTTATATCCATTGGTGTTCTTCCTCCATCTGTAGTAGAAAATGAAAAATTCGACAGCAATGATACGACGTGGTTAGGAATCAAGAATTGGCTAGATAAGCAAAATCAAGATTCTGTTGTTTATGTTGCACTTGGAACTGAAGCAACACTGAATCAAGAAGAGCTGAATGAGCTAGCTCTGGGGTTAGAAAAATGTGGATTACCATTCATTTGGGTATTAAGAGATCAGCCAATACATAATCAAGAAGATTCGCGCATTCAGCTTCCTGATGGATATGAAGACAGAGTCAAAAACAGAGGTGTAATATACAAAGAATGGGTACCACAGACAAAGATACTAAGCCATTCGTCAGTTGGCGGATTCTTGACTCATTGTGGATGGAATTCGGTCATAGAAGCGCTATGTTTTGGGCGGGTTTTGATTATGTTCCCGGTGTTGAATGATCAAGGATTGAATACAAGGTTGTTGCAAGAGAAAGGAGTTGGTGTAGAGATACCAAGAAATGAAAAAGATGGATTTTTTACTAGTGATTCAGTGGCTGAAGCTGTGAAGTTTGGTGTGGTGAGTGAAGAGGGTGAATTGTTGAGAGCTAATGCAAGACAAATGAGTGGTTTGTTTGGAGATAGGAAGAGAAATGAAGAACTTATTGATGATTGTGTTGGTTATTTGATGGAAAATAGGATAAGCATATCTAAATAGATATGTCCACAATAATGAGAGTTAGATAGAAGCGGGAATCTTAATAGCCCAATTGATTGACTATCTAATGTTTATCTGGGTTCAATTCCTTACCTTGTAATCTCATCTTCTGTTCCCCAAAAAAGGAGTTAAAATGGAAGTCGTTGCAATCGAATTTTTATTTTTTTTTGTCATATTACACCTTGTTTGGGTGGTTGTATTGTATTATATTGTTAGTTTAAAAATAATGTTTGTTTTGATTGTTATTTAAATTCTATTATATCGTATTGTTTAAATCCATTTTTAGGTAACGACGAAAAGACTCATTTATGTAACGATCGATTTGGTGTGATCGTTTTGTTACCTACTTTTCTTGTAAGTTTAACACTCAAATTATGAATGAACGATACAATCTATCCAAACAATGTATTCATTAAAATAATACAGTATGTTACAATACGATATATTATGAAATAATACATAACAACCATTCAAACAAAGATTAGTTGTAGCAAAATGTATACTCCTTCTGTCCTATAGTAACTTATAGGGATAAGAGTTTGAAAAATATCCCAATTTTGGTCGAATTTGTTGTTGCGATACTAAACTTTCATAAGGACCTATTACCTCCCTAGACTATTTAATACCGTATTTAGCTCCTGAACTATTTAATAGTGTATTTTAAAGGTATATATGTGCCCACGTGGACACATTACTATTTATAATTTTACATTATTTTTTATGTCCATGTGGGCAAATATATATATTTAAAATACGGTATTAAATAGTCTAAAAAGATAATAGATCCTCATGAAAGTTTAGTATCGCAACAGCAAATTCGACCAAAGTTGAAATATTTTTCAGATCCTTATCCTAACTTATATGTCAAAAATACTGCTCTAACTTTCATTTAACAGTTGGTTTTATACAACGTCACACTATAAGGTCTCTCATATCCCTTTGTTTACAAATTTGTGCCGACCACCTGCTCGACCAAATGCTCAGCAGGAGTTATTGCATGTTCTCGGCCACTTATGAGTCCTCTGCTTGGTCTTCACCCACATATTCTATCTCGCAGTCTAGTAGTGCCAGTACAGCTGCTTCTGGAACACCTTTAAGTTTTGGAAGAAGAAAGGGAAGAGTTGTTTTCATGGCTGTATCTAATAACAGAGCTAATCATAGAAAACTTCCAAAGAACCTTAGAAATCCTCGACGACCCAAGCTACCACCAGATATGGACTATAGTTTTAAAAGGGTCTTGTACGAGGAGGATGAGGGAGTTGCAACTGAGGCTTGTTCTGATGGAATGGATGAAGAATTGGAGCTGGAAGTAGAAAAAGGAAGGATGTGTGATGATGATGAGGGAATTATATGGGAGTCTGATGAGATGGAAGCAATTTCATCTCTTTTCAAAGGGAGAATCCCTCAGAAGCCTGGAAAATCGGATAGAGAGAGGCCTCTACCTCTGCCCCTTCCTTACAAGATTCGACCTTTAGGACTTCCTACGCAAAAGGGATTCACAAATCGTTCAAGGCAATCCATATCAACGCAAGTGTACAAGAATCCTACTTTCTTGATTGGTTTGGCGAAAGATATACAAGGCCTTACAACTGAGGAAAATGTATCAAAGGTTCTCAGTAAATGGAGTCCATTTCTTAGGAAAGGATCGTTGTCGTTGACAATCCGAGAGTTGGGTTACTTGGGGCTTCCGGAGAGAGCTCTTGAAACATTCTGTTGGGTGAAGAAACAACCCCATCTTTTCCCAGATGATCATATTCTTGGTTCTACCATTGAAGTTTTGGCGGGGTCAAATGAGTTGAAAGTGCCATTTGATTTGGACAAGTTCACTGGCTTGGCTAGTCGGGGTGTGTATGAAGCAATGCTAAGGGGTTATATTAAAGGAGGAAGCCTGAAGCTTGCTTTGAAGCTTCTTTCAATGGCTAAGGAATCTAACAGAGTACTTGATACTGGGGTGTATGCTAAGCTAATCTTAGAGCTTGGTAAGGATCCTGATAAAAGCACACTTGTTTTGGTATTGTTAGAGGAGCTTGCTGTGAGAGATGATCTGAATTTGACACCACAGGACTGTACAGCTATCATGAAGATTTGCATTAGGCTGGGAAGATTTGAGATCGTGGAGGGACTATATGACTGGTTCAGGAAATCTGGTGGTAATCCAAGTGTAGTTATGTATACTACTCTGATTCACTGTCGTTATTCAGCGAACAAATATAGAGAGGCAATAGACATGCTATGGGAAATGGAGGCTTCAAATTGCCTTTTTGATCTTCCAGCTTATCGTGTAGTTATTAAGCTTTTTGTTGCTTTGAACGATCTCTCAAGGGCTGTACGCTATTTCTCTAAACTTAAGGAAGCAGGTTTTAGTCCAACTTTTGACATATTCTGCAGCTTGATCAAAGTTTATATGGCTTCTGGAAGGGTGGCTAAGTGCAAGGATATCTGCAAGGAGGCAGAGATGGCTGGATTCAGGATTGACGAACATACATTGTTAAAGTTGCAACAATAAAATTTGTTGCATCTTATGATGTATTTTCATGTGATTTAGAGTTCCTGTTGTTTAAATTCATACCTTTATCCCACCCCTCTCCTCACTTGCATAGTAACTAGTGGCATCTGTAGGTTCTTGTAACATTTCCTTTTTCCACCTTAGGTGTCTTGTAGTGATGTTGCAATTGAACTTTTTATGATAAGTGGACAAGAAAAACCAGTATCATTTGTTCATAAGCTGGCACTTTTTCTCTTGAACAACTTTTCTGGTCAGTTTGCACTGCAATGTTAATGTCAGCATTGTGTTTGATTGAGCATCTGAAAATGTTCTGTGAAACTGTGCTGCAAAACTTGGAAAATAAAGTCACAAGTATTTACTCCAAAAAACTGACAAACATTGGAAGCTCATTGGCCAAAAGGGGAGAAAAGATTGTTTACACATTAAATATGCCCCAATTTACAACAAACAATGGTGTCAATAAAACTAGCCCCATTCACACACTAACTGTGCTAATTCTACTACTCAAAAGGGAAGTCAATGAGCTATTTGATTCCCAAAGTAGAAAACATATGGTTTACCAAAACCAAAATGAGTACAAACTATATAGAAGAAAGGTCCTCGTATATAGTCTTGATACCAGGTCTCTCAGATATAGAACGAATGCATCGCACGGCTATACCAAGAACCTCCTTCATTTGCTTCTCCATTGCTGGATTTCCCAACTCAGGTGACAACACGTTATCAAAACAATCAGCACTACGACCTTCTGCCACCTTCAACCTTACCCAGTCAGTCAAGTCTACTCCACCATCTTCGCCAGAGACAACATCACCTGCACACTTTCCACTTAGCAGCTCCAACAAAATAACTCCAAAAGCATATACATCTGATTTGAAGGAAGGCAGTGGTTTCTTCGATGCAGCCAACTCAGGGGCACGATAACCTAACACTCCTGCATCAAGAATCTGTTCTATTGTGCCGGCTTGAGTCATGAGGCGGTGAAGGCAGTAATCTGCAACCCTTGCATTAAGGTCAGGCCCATCCAACAAGATGTTGGTTGCTTTAAGGTTTCCGTGTGGAACCTCACGATCAAAATGGAGGTAGTTCAAGCCACGTGCAACATCAACCGATATTTTGAGTCTTTGGGGCCAGGTTAGTGGAGGACCTTTTCTACCAGGCCGATCTACAAACGTGCAGCACATTAGAGAAGTATATTGAGAATGACCACATATATAATTATCAACTGAATGAAAACATTTAGTTAGTCAAATGAATAGAAAGCAAGTCCATTTGAAGGATTCATAAAAGACGGAAAATGGATCATATTCTAGCTGATTTCTAACAAAGTTAATCATGAAACAAAAGCTAAACATCACAATTTTCAGATCCATTAAGAACTCAAACATACAGAATTTTAGCTACTGGAAATAATAAGTACCATACTGCAAATCCCTCACAGCCTATGTAGTGACCATCACGAAGAGCACATGGTGATGGTGTATTACTACTTGGTGTGAAAGTTACATAAACAAAAGACATGCATAATATATTGGGCTCTAGATGTACTAAAGTATTACCACATCAAACCAAGGACTAAATACTGTCGTTCACACAAATTCCCACTACAGGATCACACAGCAATGATTAAAGTGCTCATATATAATGTGCATGGGAAAACCATATGAACTGTAAGATATATGACACAGTCAGAGGAAAATGACTAGATTAAAGAACAGGGACACAAAGCCTTTACTAAGTATTAGCAAAACATAATATGAGAGTTTAGAATACATGAAGCTTACCATAGAGGAAACTTGCAAGACTTCCAGGAGATATATAATCCGAAAGAATGAGCTTCTCATGCTGTGTGGGACCCCAGTAGTAACCTCTTAATCCTACTACATTAGGATGCCTAATATTGGCAAACTTTTTAGCCTCCTTTGCGAAATCCTTCCTCTGCTTCGCTACTCCTTCTCTCAACCATTTCACAGTCAGGAGCAACCCATTCTCCAGTGTTGCCCTGTATGATGTACCATGGCTGCTTCTGCCTAAGACTTCAGCCGGAGCCCTGGAAAGTTCCTCAGGTGTAAAAGAGATTGTATCATCAAGGAAGTACAGCTCTCCAGCCAGACGATCCGGAGACTTCACATCCAATCTTGCAAAAGTTTCTGCAGTATACGAATCTCCAGACTCTGGTGACCAAGAGAAATGGCTACCTTTTGAAGGGGAGAAACCAGTTATAGCAGCCATTTTCTCATCTGGACTAATTATTTCTGATGATCCTTTCCGTGAAGTCATAAGATCTTCAGCTGAAACAACTGCACCACCGGCACCCTCCCTACTGCTAAATCCAGAAGGATTTGATGTGGCTTGGCGATGAACAACTTTTTCAGCAACACGAGGATGACGCTTCCTTGAAGCTCGTAAATAATAAAAGAAAATGGCTAGCAAGACCAAAATAATAAGAGCAATTACACAAGAAACTATTATTACCACCTTGATTATAGTTTTAAGTGATCGACTTTTCTGGTTTTTTGGTGAAGTTTGGCCAGATCCTGAGGGAGGATTTGGAAATTGAAGTTCAGAGTTTCCAGGGTAGAAAGATGATAAAGGAAACTTTCTCAAATTATCAGGGACAACACCAGATAAGTCATTGAGTGATGCATTGAAGCTTTGGAGGCCATCAGTCAGGTTCATCGGCAGAGGACCAGTAAAATGATTCTGTGAAATGTCTAGAGAAGTGAGCGAACCAACTTGACCAATCAATGTAGGCAGAGACCCAGTGAAATTATTTCCAGCTATATCAAGTACTTGAAGCGCAGTCAACAAACCAAACCCTTCAGGAAAAGAACCAGCAAGCTGATTATGAGAAAGATCAAGAACGCGGAGATTGGGTGTAGCAGAGTGGGGAGCGAAATCAATATTTCCAACAAGTGCATTGTTTTGAAGGTGAAGTTCTTCAATAGTGGGTAATGTTAGCAGAGAAGTGAGAAGAGGTCCATTCAGCTGGTTGAAACTAAGATCAAGGACTGTGATCTTGGGAAACTGTGTGATAACTTTTGGGAGAGATCCAGTAAGAGCATTGTGAGAAAGGTTTAGACGATTTAATCGCAGAAACTGAGCTGTAACCTCAGGGATGTTTCCAGTCAATTGGTTCTGGCTGAGGTCAAGAAATTCAACATTTCCCCATTTCTGAATTCTAGTTAGATTCCCCTCTAATTGGTTTTTTGAGAGATCAAGAACTGCAGTACTACCTGTCACCAGTGGAAGTTCACCAGAAAGAGCATTGGAGGATAAGTTAAGAACGCGCAGAGTTGTTGATGTAATCATGCTTATCGACCCTGTAAAATGAAGGGACTGAGTAAAGCACACTAACAAAATGATCAGAAATTAACTACTTTGTTGTAACTCAAGTTCAACACAACGAAATACTATTTAATTTGCAAAATGAATTTCAGAGAGCAGTTTGGAATATACCTGTGAGGTTGTTTCCACTTAAATCCAATTCTGCAAGAACTAAAGTATCTCCTTTCAAAAGATCATTTGGAACGAAACCAGAAAATCTGTTGTTGCTGAGTTTCAGGACCTGAAGATCATAAACAAAATTGAAGCCAGGTAATTCCCCGGACAACTGATTATAGCTCAAATCCAGAACCTTCAAGTTTCCAAATGCCTGAGCTTCACCGCCACTTACTAGTGACCCCGTAAGCTGATTATGGCTAAGACTCAAGTACTTGACTGACGAGGATATGCCTGGTAAAAATTTCTCATGTTGAGAAGCGGAACTCGCGAGTAAATTTCCACTTAAGTCAACATAAGTTGCAGTAGTAAGCAGTAAGAACTCTGGATCCAAAGTACCATCAAGCATATTTTCATGCAAGTCAAGAACTTCAAGGTTAGCCATTAGCTCAAAACCTTTAGGGATTTTCTTTGTAAATCCATTAAGAGAAAGATTGAGGTATACTAAATTATTTAACTTGGTTAAAGAAGAAGGAAGTAGCCCAGAAAGAGAATTGTGACTCAAATCCAAAGATTGAATTGACATGAGCTCTGAAACAGTATCAGGGATTGGGCCAGAGAAGTTGTTACCAGCAAGTGACAGATTCTTCAAGCTTCCTATTTTCCCAATCTCTGGTGGTAAAGAGGAGTTGAATAGATTGTTTGAAATATCCAGATATTCAAGACTCTTAAAATCACCAATTTTCTTTGGCATTTGTCCAGCAATTGAATTGTTAGCCATAGAGAGTTTCACAAGCATTGTGAGGTTAGCAAACACACTCAAATCTGCATCAGCAGATAAACCCATGTTATCAAGGACAACTGCTGCAACATTACCACCATTGCACATTATACCATTCCAAGATGAAGGGCAACCATTGAAATCAATGGACTCCTCATTCCATGACTGCAGTACATAACCAGTTGGATCATGGTTGATACCCTTCCTAAATTCAAGCAGGGCCAAAATGTCCTGGGAAGGAAGCTGCCCCATTGCAGAACCAAAACAAAGCACAAGCATCAAAAACCTAAATAGGTTCATTGCAACACCAGAAAAAGCTTTACTAGCCCAATTGGCAATAAACTCACTCCCAAAAATACAACTAAATCTTCAACCTTCCAAGAAATCCAAAAGGAGCAGCTTTAAGTATGAGAATCACTTTAAGCAAAACATCAACATATGAAAACTATCTTTCACAACAACCATCACAGCTCAAATCAGTAAAACAACAGGGGAAGAAAGTACACAACTTAAACCCAAAATCACCAGAGTCCTCCTTCAACAGCAATATAAGACAGATACAACTAAAAATAGAAACTTTTCTAGGTATACAAGCTGAAAGGAGACAATGAGTGACAAAAACAAAGTACAGACTGAACTTTCAAAGATTGAAGATAGTAAAACAAGTTCAGCATTTCCTTACCAAGAACATCAGCTCAACTAGAAGAAAAACAAAAAAAGAAGAGTCTTTTTCAAAGATTTACTGAAGAAATTCAACTTCTTGCAATGATTACAGCTTCATGTTATCTTGGAACCTCAAGTTCTTTAATGCACTCAACTGGTGGCCTCAAAAAAAATCTGCATTAAAGTACAAGAAAATGAAATGGACCAGCAAAGTATTTAGCCCTTTAGAAATCTTGATAAATGAAGTTCAAGATT